ATACTATCAATTTTACAAACAAACTGTAAGAGATAAAAATTGTTTATTTTCTTCTCATAGAACTCTAAGAATTTTTTCAGTATTTTTTTATCAACTTTTTCGCACTGCATTTTCTTATTTTTATTATCATGAAAAAATACGATATTAAAAAGTTCTGAAAAAATTCTCAGAACTTTATGAGAAGAAAATAATTTTTGTCTCTTACAGTTTTTCTGTGAAGTTGATAGTATTTGAGAAAAAAATTATTAAAGACTAATATACATTTTTAGTAATTAATATCTTGTTAAATTTTTTTGTTCCCCTAGGCCCATTCTACGCCCTAATGCGCCTCCTTACTTAACAGACACCATTTCACTTCCGACAAAGTAGGAATTTCTGCGATAGCTTCTCTTTCCGAGAATTCGTAATCGCATGTAGCTAATTTTCATATAGCAATACAATTTATAAATTTCATTTCCGAACGTAAATAAATTCAGAGTGTAAATATAACGTTAAGTCCGCGCGCTCAAGGTATTAAATTAATCTCATTAAAAGAATTAAAACAAAAACGGTATAGAAAGGTTCGAATTCGAAAAAGGATTTTTGTAAATCTATAATCCATAACTCTGCAGTGAAATTCAGGATGCGCAAGCATTTTGTGTGTTTCAAATAACAATAACATCGATTATATATCAGTTAGTTGATTTTCAAAATAACTCATGGTTGTTTACATTTCAATTCGTACACCTGCAGAAGGAAAATGGTCGCCGTTACCGTTAAATTAATTATGTACTTTATAGTCATTTCCGGAGCCAACTGTATACTTTTTTATAAAACTATAAATATAATTATTTTTATTATTAACATTATAGCCAGTGGTGACTATAAAAACAGAATTCCTAACCATAATTATTTATCATATAATTGATGATCATTTTCGGTGCCAACTATGTATATATTTCTTGGCTAAAGCGTAAATATAATTATAACGCTAATAATAATAAATATATTTATAATTATATTTATATGTTTGATAGAAATATAAATATAATAATTATTATTATAATAATTATTAGCACAAAGCAGCAATAATTATGGAAATGAAGCTTCTACTTATAATTATTTTTGCCACGCCATTATACTCACAAATAGCAAACATTTTTCTGTCAGTATATTTCTTAATAAATCTTGTACTCATGATTAAACCAATAGAGATACATCTGTCAACCCGTGACAACTGACCGGCTATAAATTGGCACAATTACATATCGCAAATGAAGATAAAGCTACGATACGTCGAGGATGGCGAGGTCAAAGAGAAGGAAATTTACATCGTGACGGAAATCGCACGCAGTAAAGAGTTAACAACGAATTACGAGCTGCAATGAACCCCGGCTCGTGAATTATCTGTCGGGACATAAATTCCGATTTGCAGCTGACATTTGGCACCGTTCAATACTCGGCTTATACATTTCTCCCTTTTTTTCCCTCCCCTCTCTTTCTTTCTTTTTGCCGTTTCGATAATGGCAAAATGGGCCAGTCATTTTGCGCGTTCGACTTTAAGAGACGCGATAGAAATAGAAGAGGCGGAAGAAAAAAAAAGAAGAGAAAAGAACGAGGTAGAGAAAATCCAAGGGTAGAGTTCCATCGGCGACGCGGAATCGCTCGCGGATGATTTCCGTCGATGAAATATTCATAATTTAATATGTCCCTCTTTCAGTCTCTCCGTCTCTTCTTTTCTCTCTGATTCAGGCGGGACGGGACGTTCGAGAGATGAAATATTCATTCTCAAGATGACGATGATGTCGGTCCGAGAAAATGCGTCACGCGTCATCGATTTCCTCACGAGGATAATAATTATCCGAGCGGAATCCCCGACGCGTGGTTTTGCGATTCCTCCAATCTTTCCCAACCTTTTAATCCATCCCCTCGATCTGCGAGCTAATACACCGTTTTCCATTGCAATCGAAACTTTTCTCGAATGTAAATCTTTCTCATTACTCTCTCTCTCTTTCTTTCTCTCTCTCTCTCTCTCTCTCTCTCTCTCTCTCTCTCTCTCTCTCTCTCTCTCTCTTTTGTATTTTAATTTTACAGTTTCGCTTGCATGTAAGAAAATAACGAGTTTCTTGATATTTACGAGAAATCCACCTCCGAGATATTTTTCCGTCCAATTTACATTTTACGCAATTTCCAATTTTCCGATGTATCCCGCGGAAATATGTATTTCCGTACTCGTTAGTTTTGCAGTGCCGGCATGACTTGGCAAATATCCGGGCATCGACGAACTCCTTCGTCGATATAAGATATTTCGTGTGTAGACTTCGCGTACAATTCGTTCACATTTTTACAGAACTCCTGAACTTTTGACTTTTTGACTCTCATTGTATCTCTGACTGCCGACACCACAAGTCTTTTACGTGAAACCGCGGAAAAAAACGCTTGCATAAGTGAAAATATAATAGAAAATTCAGACAAATGATTTTAATAATTCCCTCATTTTCGTTTCGTGTTTCCTTTGAATGACTACACAGCAAATCTGACAATCTAATGAGCGATATGATTTTACGTATTTTTTTCGCACTCACCTAAGAGAGAAGGATAATGAGAGAAAGAGAGAGAGAGAGAAAGAAAAACGACGCACGTACACAACAGACAATAGAATACGTTTCAAGTCCTACAAACCGAATCGACGGGCAGTTTATAAAACTGAAAAATGTATTTGCAAATTTGAATATGAATATTATTATGCAGCAAAGATTCACTTCGACCTAAAATAAAATTCTTCCTTTTTTCCTAACTTCTACCTAAATTCTAAGTAAAATCGTGAGGCTTGTAACATATTCTTGTAAAAATTTTTAAGTGCTTATACAATATTTTTTACAGACAGCTTCTTAAAGTCATAAAATTTACAAGAAATCGTTGATATTTATCGAATATTAATCGTATTAAAATTAGAAGAGGGAATACCAGTCAGAAGTTTTTACAAATTTTACGAGAACGCGTTACGAATCTTACGATTCTGCTTAGAATTGACCCATTACAGTCTCATCGATCTAATTTCCACTTGTAAAAGAATACAATACGACGGCAGACTAAAAAAGGAAGAGCGGAAAAGAGATAGATAAAAGCTTTATTACTGTTGTTCATAAATAAGAACACAACCTTTTAAAGACATATAGAAGTAAAAAGAAAAGCAGGAAGATAAAAATATATCGAATAGCAAACATAGTAGAAAAGAAAGAGAGTAATACAAATAAAATATAAAAATAAAAATTATTAGTTTAATTAAATTAAACTGTATAGAAGCAAAGATGGAAAGCAAAGGATAGCGAATAGAAAGAAAAAGAACGAGAGGTAGACAGATAAAGGCGTTTATTACTATTCCAAGGCAATCTCTTTGAGAAAATAAAATGAACACAGAAAGAATGAAAATATACAAATAACAAGAATAACACGACAAAGGTAATAGAAATAGAATATAAAAATAAAAACTATAAATTGTATAAAAGCAAAGTTAGAAACCAAAGGATAGTGAATATATATATATATATATATATATATATATAGAGAGAGAGAGAGAGAGAGAGAGAGAGAGAGGAGAGAAAAAGAGAGCAGAAAGCAAAATTTCGGTATTTCATACTCGCGACTTCCGCACAAGAATTTCAAGAATTTTACAAGGTCGTAAACATTCGAGCCGCAAAACATTGCACAGCAGAGGTTATAATAACAATTATCACTACAAGTCGTATATGCGATGCGATTTAGAATGTCTTTTAATATTTGCCGAATAGGTACGTAAGAGAAATAAGCGGGTAATAACAGAGTTTCTCTTCAACGCGTTTTTTAAAAGTTAGACAAAGAGAGAAATGCCGTATACGTTACTTAAATAATTTAAAACAAGAATCATAATTACAAAAATAAAAATTGTAGCTCCAAAAGAAATCAAAAGAAACTAAATTACCGACGCTATATTAATATGCAGCAATAATATTTAATAAAGATTAGAAAAGGATTGCTAAAAATTCCTCGTCCTAAAATTCCATAATTTTTCCTTCATTTCTGGATACATTTTATAATGCTTCCTTAATGCTTTCATTAAACTTTTTTTGCATTTTTTCCTGATTTGGAAATATTTTGTTAAGAAAGTAACTTAATATAGCAAAATGTAAATTAACTATTAATGTTGTTGAAACTGTATTTAATTATTAAGTCGAAATTTATTAAACTTCTAATAAAACCAAGAATTTTTATTTTCCAGAAAATTTTGCAAAATACTCTAATTCTTTCCTAATTTCCCTGACATTTTTCTAATTTTCAATTTTATGGCAATCCTGTAAAAGCTTCGGGTATAAAAATCATATTACACAAATCCTGCCATTATTTATTATTCCTTTAAAATATTTTTTATTATTTCTTTGTGTAAAGCATCAAAGAAATCATGGCGATTATTTAGGGGAAAGTCCACTCAGTTAGCGCGATTTATTGAATCTATTTTCTCACGTGTAAATCGAAAAATTCTCGCGATCAGTTTATATAGAAAAT